TAGTTCAGTAGTTATAACTTGTAGTTCAGTAGTTACAACTGGTAGTTCAGTAGTTATATACAACTGGTAGTTCAGTAGTTATATACAGCTGAAGTTTCAGTAGTTATATACAAAATGGTAGTTTCAGTAGTTACATACAACTGGTAGTTCAGTAGTTATATACAACTGGTAGTTCAGTAGTTATATACAACTGGTAGTTCAGTAGTTACAACTGGTAGTTCAGTAGTTATATACAACTGGTAGTTCAGTAGTTACATACAACTGGTAGTTCAGTAGTTACATACAATTGGTAGTTCAGTAGTTACAACTGGTAGTTCAGTAGTTACATACAACTGGTAGTTCAGTAGTTTTTATACAACTGGGGAGTTCAGTATTTTTATTAAAATTTAGTTCAGTTGTTACAACTGGTAGTTCAGTAGTTATATACAACTGGTAGTTCAGTAGTTACATACAACTGGTAGTTCAGTAGTTACAACTGGTAGTTCAGTAGTTATATACAACTGGTAGTTAAGTAGTTACAACTGGTAGTTCAGTAGTTATATACAACTGGTAGTTCAGTAGTTATATACAACTGGTAGTTCAGTAGTTATATACAACTGGTAGTTCAGTAGTTACATACAACTGGTAGTTCAGTAGTTACAACTGGTAGTTTAGTTATATACAACTGGTAGTTCAGTTATATACAACTGGTAGTTCAGTTATATACAACTGGTAGTTTAGTAGTTATATACAACTGGTAGTTCAGTAGTTACATACAACTGGTAGTTCAGTAGTTATATACAACTGGTAGTTCAGTAGTTATATACAACTGGTAGTTCAGTAGTTATATACAACTGGTATTCAGTAGTTATATACACTGGTTTGTTTTAGTATTAAACAACTGGTAGTTCAGTAGTTATATACAACTGGTAGTTCAGTAGTTATATACAACTGGTAGTTCAGTTATATACAACTGGTAGTTCAGTTATATACAACTGGTAGTTCAGTAGTTACAAAATGGTTTCAGGTTTTTATACAACTGGTGTTCATAGTTATAATAAATGGTAGTTCAGTTATATACAACTGGTAGTTCAGTAGTTATATATAACTGGTAGTTCAGTAGTTATATACAGCTGGTAGTTCAGTAGTTATATACAACTGGTAGTTCAGTAGTTATATACAACTGGGATTCAGTAGTTATATACAATGGAGTTCAGTGTTATATAATAACTGGTAGTTCAGTTAGTTATATACAAATGGTATTTCAGTAGTTATTATACAACGGTAGTTTCAGTAGTTTATATAACTGGTAGTTCATTTGTTTAAACTGGGAGTTATATTTTAACATGGTAGTTCAGTAGTTACATACAATGGTAGTTCAGTAGTTATATAAACTGGTAGTTCATAAATTTCAACTGGTAGTTCATTAGTTTTCATACAACTGGTAGTTCAGTAGTTAAAATACAACTGGTAGTTCATAGTTACAGCTGGTGTTCAGTAGTTAATACAACTGGGAGTTCAGTAGTTATTACAACTGGTAGTTCAGTAGTTACAACTGGTAGTTCAGTAGTTATATACAACTGGTAGTTCAGTAGTTATATCTAACTGGTAGTTCAGTAGTTACAACTGGTAGTTCAGTAGTTATATACAACGGTAGTTTCATAGTTTTAATCAACTGGTAATTCAATTTACACTGGTAGTTCAGTAGTTATTTACAACTGGTAGTCATATTACATACAACTGGGAGTTCAGTAGTTTATATCCCCTGGTAGTTTCAGTAGTTATTAAAAGCTGGTAGTTCAGTAGTTAATACAAACTGGTAGTTCAGTAGTTATATACAACTGGTAGTTCAGTAGTTATATACAACTGGTAGTTCAGTAGTTATATACAACTGGTAGTTCAGTAGTTATATACAACTGGTAGTTCAGTAGTTTTTCAAATGGTAGTTTAGTTATATACAACTGAGTAGTTTCACTGGTTCATTTAATAAAAACGGTAAGTAGTAGTTACAACTGGTAGTTAGTTAATACAATGGGAGTTCATTATATACAACAGTAGTTCAGTTTATTACAACGGTAGTTAGTAGTTATATACAACTGGTAGTTCATAGTTTACATAAAAACTGGATTCAGAGTTTATAACAAAGGTAGTTCATAGTTATAACAATTGTAGTTCAGTAGTTATATACAACTGGTAGTTCATAGTTAATACCAGCTGGTAGTTCAGTAGTTATATCAATGGTAGTTCATAGTAAAAATTACAATGGTAGTTCAGTATTTTTAAAACAACTGGTAGTTCGTAGTTTATATACAACTGGTAGTTCAGTAGTTTATATACAATTTTGGTAGTTTTAGTATATAACAAATGGTAGTTTCAGTTATTAATACAACTGGAGTAATTTTTATAGGGTTATATAAACTGGTAGTTTAAGTATTATATAAACTGGAGTTCGTAGTTAATAAACGGTAGTTTCAGTAGTTATAACACGGTATTCAGTCAGTTATATACAAATGGTAGTTAAGTAGTTATATACAACTGAGTCAGTAGTAATACACCCGGTAGTTCAGTAGTTTAAACTGGTAGTTTAGTAGTTAAACAACTGTAGTTCGAGTTACATACAACTGTAGTGCAGTAGTTATATACAACTGGTGTCAGTATATAACACTGGGGGTTCAGTTTGTTAATACAACTTGGTAGTTTCAGTATTTAAAAACTGGTAGTTCAGAGTTTTTAAAATAACTGGTATTCAGTAGTTACAAAAACTTAAGTTTCAACAGTTACATACAACTGGTTTTTTTCAGTATTAATATAACTGGAGTTCATAGTTATATACCCTCGTAGTTCAGAGTTAAAACAACTTTATTCAGTAGTTTACAACTGGGAGTTCATATTATAATAAACTGGAGTTTCAGTAGTTATACAACTGGTAGTTTCATAGTTTACATACAACTGTGTTTCAGTAAATTAATAAACTGGTAGTTCAAGTATTAATCACGGTAGTTTCATAGTTACCACAATAGTTTCATATTACAACTGGTAGTTTCATATTATAAACAACTGGTAGTTCAGTAGTTATTACAACTGTAGTTCATAGTTAATCAAACTTGGTAGGTTTTTTTTAGTTATATAAACTGGGATTCAATAGTTACATAAACTTTGGGAGTTCAGTATTTAATACAACGGTAGTTCGTAGTTTACAACTGGTAGTTTCAGTAGTTAATACAACCCGGTAGTTTCAGTATTATAACAAATGTAGTTTCATAGTTTAAAACCCCTGTAATTCAGTAGTTTACAATGGTATTCAAGTTATAACAACGACGAGTTCATAGATAATACAAATGGGTATTAAAAGTTAAACTGAACAGAGTTAAAAAACAAGGATTCAGGAAAAACCAATGTAGCAGTAAATACAGCTAATTTTAGGGGTTTTTTCCATTTTCCCCCAACAGGGGGGGAACAGGGAAAAACCCGTTCAGGACAACCTAAGACACAAAAAACAGTACTCAGGGTTTCCCCAAGGACCGAAAAAAGAAAAAATTTTTCAGGGAAAAAAATGCCTGATGAGCATTCGAGGGGTCCCCGGATTACCAAGTGAAGGGGAAAAAAAAGACTTTTCCCCTGATTTAAGGGCAATTTAAAAAACCTAAACCAATCAGGTTCTTAAGAAATTAGGGCTTTGAATAAAAGGGGGTATTTGTTTTTCCTGTGCAGTCCTTTATGTAGTTTTAGGGCCTTGATCCGGGGGGCCCCGATGTTTAGTCTTGGGTGCAAGGGTTTTAAAAGTTTTTAGTCCTTGAGAAGGGTCCCCCATGTAGTTTGGTCCCTTTAATCAAGGGTCCCCGATGTAGCTACTTATGCAAAGGGGCCAAAGTAGTTTTAGGTCCTTTATGCCCGGGTCCCTTGTGTTTTGGCCCTGAAACAAGGGGGCCCCGGGAGGCCAGAAGGCCCTTGGGGAGGCCGAGCGGGCCAAGAGTTTTTGGGGAACAAAGGGCCCCGGGAAAAACCCTTTAACCGGGCCCCAGAGTTTTTGGGAGCCCGGGGCCCTAACGGGAGGCCTGGGAAGGCCAGGGGAGACCTGGGGAGGCCAGGGGAGACCTGGGGAGGCCAGGGAAGACCTGGGAAGGCCAGGGGAGACCTGGGGAGGCCAGGGGAGACCTGGGGAGGCCAGGGGAGACCTGGGAAGGCTTAGTGACATAACTAATGAACATTGTTCATTCTGGACCCTATTTTCAAATTGGCATTTTTTTTTTTTTTTAATTTTTGTGTAAGATTGACCAAATTACCAACTTGTGACCACTTTATTGGGCAGACATAATTACCAACTTGTGACCACTTTATTGGGCAGACATAATTACCAACTTGTGACCACTTTATTGGGCAGACATAATTACCAAGTTTGTGACCACTTTATTGGGCAGACAAAATTACCAACTTGTGACCACTTTATTGGGCAGACAAAATTACCAACTTGTGACCACTTTATTGGGCAGACAAAATTGTTGACCGATCAGTTTCTTGTACTCAATTTATACAGTAGAACATATACTAACAAAATAGATAAGAATTTGGTCAAGTGGAATAATGAAATTGGCCTAAAATAGGCCTCAAAGTGGGTGAAATCACTGGTGCATTAAGTTGTACTGAGACTGCTAACTTTGCACCAGCATAAGTTTTCCATCAAATTTCTTACTTTTGGTGTTGTTACCTTCGAAAAAACATTGTCACTTCAAAAGAAAATATATATATTTTTAAATTTTTGGATCCTGAGAGCAAGTTTTATTTTGGGCATCTGTTATATCTAGAGTTTACTGTATCTTCAACTAGTATAGGCAATAATTCTTCTTTATTACTGTTTTATATGCAGAGTTTACTCTATCTGCTTTATTGTGTTGCAGATTCAGTAAACTTTCCTTTATTGTGTTGCACATACAGTAAACTCTGCTTTATTGTGTTGCAGATTCAGTAAACTCTCCTTTATTGTGTTGCACATACAGTAAACTCTGCTTTATTGTGTTGCTCAGGTTGAGTTATGAGAAGCAGATAAGTCAGATTGAGGTCAACAATGCAGACATGCACAGTAAGATAGGCACTGTGCAACTGGAGCGAGATGCTGCAAAATCGGAGGTTGCAAGTCTCAACTCCTTCAACCTGCAGTTGCAGGAGAAGGTTGGGGACCTCACAGGGGCGAGGGAAGCCCTGCAACACCAGGTTGCAATGCTGGAGGTCACTGTTGCAGAGCTGGAGGTCAAGGTGGAGGAGACGGAGGTGCAATCACAAGAGACCATCCACACTTTGCAGAACAACCTTGTCAACTTGCAGAAACAGGTCCAGGGCCTCAAGGAGACCAGCACCAAGCTGGCCCTGGACCTGGAGAGTGAGAGTAAGCTGCGACTGGATGCACAGGCCCAGCTTAGCCAGCTTAGACAGCTGCAACGACAACTGGACGAGGCGCGACTTTCTGACGCAGCTAAAATAAATGAACTCCAGAGCAAGAACGAGGAACTGGAAGCAACTGTCGTTTGCCTAAAGGAACGACAAGTTCACCAGAACAAGGGACAGGAAACAACAGTCACTACCCTAAAGGAACAACAAACTTGTGAGAATGAGAAACAGGAAGCGACGGTTACCCTAAAGGAGCGACAATCTGAGAATGAGTTCCTAAAGGAACTCAAAGCTCATGTCGCACAGCTTGAATCAGAGAAGACAACCCTAATGGAGAAACTATCCAGCATAACAAGCACGGCCGCTGCCTCCACCTCCGATAACAGTGTAAATACAACAGCAGAACAGGTTGACGAAAAGACACGAACGAACGTTAGTGAAGACGTGACCAGACTGAAAGATTTATTGAAGACGAAAGATGAAGAAAACAAGAGAATAAGAGAGTCACTCCAAGATGCACAACACAGACTAAGGTCGGTCATTATTCAAGCTTATCTCATAATAATAATAATAATAATGTTTATTTGTACAAGTATGTACATGATGTAACTTACACAGACCATAGCTGACATAAATGACATACTTCTGTAATAATTATAAAATGATAATCAGTAAGGTTCACTATTACTCAATAATAATAAGTATTAACCTTAATACGAGTTTGTGATCACTGTGGTGTTATATTAACGTGTGGTGGACGTCTCCTCCGCCAGACTGTCGGAGGTAATCAGTGGAGAGGTGGAGGAGCAGCGGAAGAGGGTCCGGGAGCTGGAGTCCAGCCTAACTTCACTACAGGAGCAACACCGCCAGCAGCTGAGGGCTCTAGAGCTTGAGACCCAACGACAGGTCGCTTCCAAGGAACAACAGTGTCAACAAACTATTTCTTCTGCCTATGGTAATAATAAAATAATAATAATAATAATGAAACCAGCAAGGTTACAGTATGGTAATTGGATGAACGATGGTCAGTGAGTTTTTTCTTTCTAATCTTGTAACATTTATGTCTGTAAAAAAAAAAATACACAAAGGGGGTTTATTGCAAAATATAGTTGTTGTTGTGGTACAGATCAGCAAGACACTGAGACAAGTGAGCTGGTGCGGCAGCACCGCCAGACACTGCAGGAAGCCACCGCGACGGCGCGACACAAGGCTGCTGCCCTCGACACTGTTGTCATCGACTACCAGACCAAGCTTAAGGTACGGTGCCAGTCGACGACCTTGTAGATGAAGTCATCATGGTTGTTATTGAGGTTGAGGGGTTGTCCAGGGTTGTTATTAGATCCAGGGTTAGGGACGAGGGTGTCAGGGTTATTAAGGTCCAGGGAGAAGACGAGATCATTATGCTTATTGGTTGGTTAGATAACTATGATAGTTTGGAAGCTTTACTTGGAGTATACCTGGAGGGTGTTCTGGGGGTCAATGCTCCCACAGCCCAGTTCATGACCAGGCCTTGTTGTGGATTAGGACCTGATCAACCAGGTTGTTAGTTGGCCACATGTAAAACAATGTAGGATCCATAGCCCAGCTGGTCAGGTATTGACTTTGTGTCTGCCTAGTGCCTTCTTGAAGACAACCAGGGGTCTTGAAGACATCTTGGGGTCTTGAAAACAGCCAGGGGTCTATTGGCAATCCCCCTTATGTATGCTGGGAGACAGTTGAACAGTCTTGGGCCCCTGATACTTACTGTGTTGTCTCTTAGTGTACTTGTGGCACTCCTGCTTTTCACTGGGGGATGTTGCATCTCCTACTGAGTCTTTTGCTTTCATAGGGAGTGATTTTCATGTGCAAATTTGGTACTAGTCCCTTTGGGACTTTCCTAGTGTATATTATCATGTATCTTCCTTGCCTGCATTCCAGGGAGTACAAATCAAGGGACTTCAATTGTTCTCGGTAATTTAGGTGCTTTATCGTACTTATGTGTACCGTGAGAGTTCTTTGTATGTTTTCCAGGTCTGCAATTTTGCCTGCCTTGAAAGGGGCTGTTAGTGTACAGCAATATTCCAGCCTAGAGAGAACAAGTGATTTGAAGACAATCATCATGGGCTTGGGATCCCTAGTCTTGAAGGTTCTCATTATCCATCCTATCATTTTTCTAGCAGATGAGGTAGATACATTGTTGTGATCTGTGAAAATGAAATCCTCTGACATTATAACTCTCAGGTCCTTCACATTAGTTTTTCGCTCTATTGTGTGGTTGGAATTTGTTTTATACTCCGATACACTTAATTTCCTCGAGTTTTCCATGTCAGGGTAATTGAAATTTCTCATCATTGAACTTCATATTGTTTTCTGCGGCCCATTTAAAAATTTGATTGATGTCCGCTTGGAGACTCGAAGTGTCTTCAGTGGATGACACCGTCATGCAAATTCGGGTGTCATCTTCAAAGGCAGACACAGTGCTGTGGCTAATGTCTGTCTATATCAGATATGAGGATGAGGAACAGGATGGTAGTGAGTACTGTGCCTTGTGGAACAGAGCTTGTCACTGTAGCTGCCTCAGACTTTACTCTGTTAACTATTACTCTTTGTGTTCCGTTTGCTAGGAAATTATAGATCCATCTAGCAACTTTTCCTGTTATTCCCTTATCATGCATTTTGTGCACTATTACAACATGGTCACACTTGTCAAAGGCTTTTGCAAAGTCTGTGTATACTACATCTGCATTTTTTGTACACTAGAGCATCCAGGACCTTGTCATAGTGGTCCAGTAGCTGGGACAGGCAAGAGCGACTTGTTCTAAATCCATGCTGACCTGGCTTTGAGTGAAATTACATTTCATTTGTCAAGCAAGCTTTGTCAAGTAAGCTTTGTCAAGCTTTCTCGAATGTGTACTTGCTGCCTAAGATAGGTGTGCAACACCTAGGTGTCAGTATTGTTGAAAACACGTGTTGCACACATCAGCTTATCAGTATTGCAAGCCTTTATAGTATGATGAAGCTTATAGTCTTGCACTGTAAGTAGTACAATCAAGCTTAGTCTTGCACTACAAGTAGTATGACCAAGCTTAGTCATGCACTATAAGTAGTACGATCAAGCTAATAGTCTTGCACTATAAGTAGTACGATCAAGCTAATAGTCTTGCACTATAAGTAGTACGATCAAGCTTATAGTCTTGCACTATAAGTAGTACGATCAAGCTAATAGTCTTGCACTATAAGTAGTACGATCAAGCTAATAGTCTTGCACTATAAGTAGTACGATCAAGCTTATAGTCTTGCACTATAAGTAGTACGATCAAGCTTATAGTCTTGCACTATAAGTAGTACGATCAAGCTTATAGTCTTGCACTATAAGTAGTACGATCAAGCTTATAGTCTTGCACTATAAGTAGTACGATCAAGCTTATAGTCTTGCACTATAAGTAGTACGATCAAGCTTATAGTCTTACACTGTAAGTAGTATGATCAAGCTTATAGTCTTACACAGTAAGTAGTATGATCAAGCTTATAGTCTTACACAGTAAGTAGTATGATCAAGCTTATAGTCTTACACTATAAGTAGTATGTAGTTTTGCACTGTAATATTCTACCATCCACTGCTGGGGTTTTCCACCCTAGTAGTGAAAGGTAGAATATTATTCCGTCAGTGACCGATGGAAATTATTGTACAACGACTTAATGACTCTGGGTGCGTGAGGCAAATCATAATGAATAACTGTCAACAAATAAATGGAGGGACAAACATGGACTGGAACTGCTTGTGTGTACAGCGATGGTCCTGTCTTACTCACAAACTACACTTCCAGTCGTCCATTTTTTCATTTATTTTTTGTTCATTATGACTTATCCCAATATTCCAGTACAGTGGTACCTCAGGATACGAATTTTTTTCTTTCCAGAAGACTATTCGAGTGCCGATACCGAACAAATTTGTTCCCATAAGGAATAATGTAAATCAGATTAATCCATTTCAGACCCCCAAAAATACACTTACAAAGGCACTTACATAAATACACTTACATAATTGTTCAAGTTTTGAGCTGTTCGTATCCCAAGGCACCACTGTATTTGTTATTTTTCAAATAGGTCTAATAATTGTAAATAAAACCTGAACCATGTCTAACTCTGTGCTCTCTCTCTCTCCCTATGCCTACATGGTGTGTGCACCTCGCATACACACTGTGTGTGGACTTGACATGTATACGATGTGTGGCCCTCATGTGTACACAATATGTGGACTTCGTATGTGCATCCTGCCCGCTGTGTGTGTGTGTAAATTCCTCTGACTGCAACGTTGAATCTTCCTGGTTCGTCCTGACCCCACCTGGTCTATCCTGAACTCACCTGGTCTGTCCTGAACCCACCTGGTCTGTCCTGAACCCACCTGGTCTGTCCTGAACCCACCTGGTCTGTCCTGGACCCACCTGGTCTGTCTTCAACCTACCTGGTCCACCCTGAACCCACCTTATCCACCCCCAAACCCACCTTGTCCACCCCCAAACCCACCTTGTCCACTGCCAAACCCACCTGGTCCTATCCTAACCCAACTGGTTCCACCCTAACCTTCCTGGTTGACCTAACCTCTGGTCCATCCTGAACCCACCTGTCCACCCATGGACCCACCATGAGAAGGAACACTTGTAGTTGTTCAACATGTCATGAAGGACAACTGGCAGCCCTGGCAGCCAAACTCTGAGACCCAACATCAAGGCAGGTGGAGCCACTGAAGGTCCGGGCCGAGAAGATGGTCCGACAACGTGAGGCGCAGCTCCTAGACCAGAAGGACGACCTTACTACAGAGTGGAACAAGGAACGCAGGGTAAGACTCCTAAAACTACTGTAGGATCCCCTGTAGCTACTGTAGGATAACATGTGACTACTGTAGGTTAACATGTAACTACTGTAGGTTAACATGTAACTACTGTAGGTTAACATGTAACTACTGTAGATTAACATGTAACTACTGTAGTATAACATGTAACTACTGTAGGTTAACATGTAACTACTGTAGTATAACATGTAACTACTGTAGTATAACATGTAACTACTGTAGTATAACATGTAACTACTGTAGGTTAATATGTAACTACTCTAGGTTAACATGTAACTACTGCAGGATATGTAACTACTGCAGGATATCATGTAACTACTGCAGGATATCATGTAACTACTGCAGGATATCATGTAACTACTGCAGGATATCATGTAACTACTGCAGGATATCATGTAACTACTGCAGGATATCATGTAACTACTGCAGGATATCATGTAACTACTGCAGGATATCATGTAACTACTGCAGGATATGTAACTACTGCAGGATATCATGTAACTACTGCAGGATATCATGTAACTACTGCAGGTTTATCATGTAACTACTGCAGGATAACATGTAACTACTGCAGGATATCATGTAACTACTGCAGGATATCATGTAACTACTGCAGGATATCATGTAATTACTGTATAACCCCCTGTAGCCCAGAACCTAACCTACTATATAATATGGGCTCTACAGTCAGTCTGTAGCCACAGGTTCCAAAACACACACTGCACAAGCAAGGCTCTCAGCAAGCACTGTCCAGGTCTCCACTAGAGCCTCTGGCTCACACTTGGCTGACAGAGGGCAGTACCCTGCTACTGCTCTCTGTCAGTCCTGTGCTCCAGGCTCTCCTTTTAAGTAGGTATAATAATAGTCAGGAAAGAGGACAAGTGTTTCCTGATGTGGGTCCTAGTGTTATGACCTGCAGCTGGAGGTTTTGGTCATTTGACTGAGGACTTCTGCTGGTTTTCCCTTCATCTCTTTAAAAGTCATGATTATGATTATGACCATTAGGAGTACAGGAAGTGTTCATTGTGGACCTCCTGTATTATGTATAATATTCATAATACAGGAAGTGTTCAACTTACAAACACATTGTGGACCTCCTGTATTATGTATAATATTCATAATACAGGAAGTGTTCAACTTACAAACACATTGTGGACCTCCTGTATTGTGTATAATAATGATATTATATATAGTAATTATATAATAATAATATACACAATACAAAATTTTTTCAATATTTTCCTAAGTAGTTGAGGATTTACTGTAATCCAAAACTTTTTCCTTGTAGATGTTTTCGTGGGCTTGTATGGTCGTCCGTGCATCCTCCTTAAAGATGGCACAATACCATACCTGGAACACTACACAATCCCCACATAGGAGAGATGAGCTTAGGATGACATTTTGGTCTAACTTGGACCATTTACAAAGTCACACTGACACAAAAGAGAGATGGAGCCAGTAAATAGGGCAGCTGGCAGGGTCAGGTTATGTGTGTACAATAGAACCAATGTGTCAGCAGATTCACTATCTGCAGTTTCAGTTATCCACTGTTTACTGTGGTCCAAAAATAACCCTTAATTTTGCTTAATAATGGTCATAAAATGCAATAGTGATGATGGCTGTTCTTCAAAACCTAAGAGAAGCCGTGAGTTGCTTCCCATTGGTGAAAGACTGATAATTCTAGATTTGTTGTGCATAATTTATCAAACTTTATCATAGGTATGTATGTAAACCAAAAATGACTTATACAGTGGACCCCCGGTTTACGATCAGCTTCCAATGCGACCAATTATGTAAGTGTATTTATGTAAGTGCATTTGTATGTGTATGTTTGGGGGTCTGAAATGGACTAATCTAATTCACAATATTCCTTATGGGAACAAATTCAGTCAGTACTGGCACCTGAACATACTTCTGGAATGAAATAATATCGTAAACCGGGGATCCACTGTATATACATGTATAGTGCTGGCTACTATCCATGGTTTCTGGTATCCACACTAATTCTTGGAAGGTATCTCCCATGGATATAGGGGGACTACTGTATTGTTACAACCCCTTTAACTCCAAGGTCCGGAGGTCACCCTCCATTGGGTGACTCTTGGAGTCAGAATTTCGAGAAACATCAACATGGAACGCAAGACCTGAGAGGTCTTGCATTCCATGTTGGGTATTTCCCAGTTTTCACACTCCCATGATGTGGCCATGATGTGGCCAGAGTGTGGACAGGGTGTGGCACAGTCTTGCTGGCTAGTCAGGTCCGTCCTGTGACCTGATGTATGAAATACCACGGGTGGGGTTTGATCCCGCGGTCAGAGAGTCTCAAAACTCCAGACCGTCGCGTTAGCCACTGGACCAGCTAGCACAATAAGATTCGTCCAGCTAGGTATATTTCTACACCATAGGAAGGGTAGCATAGGCACCACTGTGACCACAAATGCAAGTTTGTTTGCAATCGTGTCATTACGATTTCGTGAGTCATGTTAACGGCTTTGAGGGGACTTGAGCTAGAGTTCGTCACGGCCATGCTAGCTGGAGATTCGTCTTTAAAAACTTGCATTTGTGGTCACAGTGGTGCCTATGCTAACCTTCCTATGGTGAAGAAATATACCTAGTTAGACGAATCTTATTGTGGCTAGCTGGCCCAGTGGCTTACACGACGGTCTGGAGTTTTGAGACTCTGACTGCGGGATCAAACCCCACCTGTGGTATGGTTTGTTTGCAATCGTGTCATTACGATTTCATGAGTCATGTTAATGGCTTTGAGGGGACTTGAGCTAGAGTTCGTCACGGCCATGCTAGCTGGAGATTCGTCTGTAAATACTTGCATTTGTGGTCACAGTGGTGCCTATGCTAACCTTCCTATGGTGTAGAAATATACCTAGTTGGACGAATCTTATTGTGGCTAGCTGGTCCAGTGGCTAATGCGATGGTCTGGAGTTTTGTTTGCAATCGTGCCATTACGATTTCGTGAGTCGAGTCAAATACACTCTTACATCACAAAGGACACTCATATACACTAACACTCAAGTGAAACACCTACACTCATGTACACATACACTTACGTTATGTACACATGCACTCACACGTAAATGTATGCATAGCAAATTGCTTACATGGATATTTTCTGCTGTACGTACATTAACCTCCAGTATGTGCATTAACCTCCAGTATGTACATTAACCTCCAGTATGTACATTAACCTCCAGTGTGTACATTAGCCTCCAGTATGTACATTAGCCTCCAGTATGTACATTAGCCTCCAGTATGTACATTAGCCTCCAGTATGTACATTAGCCTCCAGTATGTACATTAACCTCCAGTATGTGTTGCAGGAACTGGAACGACTAACACAAGTAGCAGCGGCAGCGTTCAGGAACGGCACTGAATCTGTGGAGCTTCTTAAGAAGCAAGTAGCAGCTCAACGAAGAGAACTGGAGGAGGTGAAGCTTAATTATGGGTGAGTGAACAAGCTTGAATAGCTACTGCAAGCTTAGTAAACTGTAATGTGTAGTGTGGGCTTAGTAAGCTGTAATATGTAGTGTGGGCTTAGTAAGCTGTAATATGTAGTGTGGGGCTTAGTAAGCTGTAATATGTAGTGTGGGTTAGTAAGTTGTAATATGTAGTGTGGGTTAGTAAGTTGTAATATGTAGTGTGGGCTTAGTAAGTTGTAATATGTAGTGTGGGGTTAGTAAGCTGTAATATGTAGTGTGGGGTTAGTAAGTTGTAATATGTAGTGTGGGCTTAGTAAGCTGTAATATGTAGTGTGGGCTTAGTAAGTTGTAATATGTAGTGTGGGGTTAGTAAGTTGTAATATGTAGTGTGGGGTTAGTAAGCTGTAATATGTAGTGTGGGCTTAGTAAGCTGTAATATGTGTATGGGCTTAGTAAGCTGTAATATGTAGTGTGGGTTAGTAAGTTGTAATATGTAGTGTGGGGTTAGTAAGTTGTAATATGTAGTGTGGGGTTAGTAAGCTGTAATATGTAGTAGGGCTTAGTAAGCTGTAATATGTAGTGTGGGGTTAGTAAGTTGTAATATGTAGTGTGGGGTTAGTAAGTTGTAATATGTAGTGTGGGGTTAGTAAGTTGTAATATGTAGTGTGGGGTTAGTAAGTTGTAATATGTAGTGTGGGCTTAGTAAGCTGTAATATGTAGTATGGGCTTAGTAAGCTTGTAATATGTAGGTGGGGTTAGTAAGTTGTAATATGTAGTGTGGGTTAGTAAGCTGTAATATGTAGTATGGGCTTAGTAAGCTGTAATATGTAGTGTGGGGTTAGTAAGTTGTAATATGTAGTGTGGGGTTAGTAAGCTGTAATATGTAGTATGGGCTTAGTAAGCTGTAATATGTAGTGTGGGGTTAGTAAGTTGTAATATGTAGTGTGGGGTTAGTAAGCTGTAATATGTAGTGTGTGGTTAGTAAGTGTAATATGTAGTATGGGCTTAGTAAGCTTTTAATATGTAGTGTGGGGTTAGTAAGCTGTAATATGTAGTGTGGGGTTAGTAAGCTGTAATATGTAGTGTGGGGTTAGTAAGTTGTAATATGTAGTGTGGGGTTAGTAAGCTGTAATATGTAGTGTGGGGTTAGTAAGTTGTAATATGTAGTGTGGGTTAGTAAGTTGTAATATGTAGTGTGGGGTTAGTAAGCTGTAATATGTAGTATGGGTTAGTAAGTGTAATATGTAGTGTGGGGTTAGTAAGTTGTAATATGTAGTGTGGGGTTAGTAAGTTGTAATATGTAGTATGGGCTTAGTAAGTTGTAATATGTAGTAGGGCTTAGTAAGCTGTAATATGTAGTGTGGGGTTAGTAAGTTGTAATATGTAGTGTGGGCTTAGTAAGTTGTAATATGTAGTAGGCTTAGTAAGTTGTAATATGTAGTGGGCTTAGTAAGCTGTAATATGTATGTGGGTTATAAGCTGTAATATGTAGTGTGGGGTTATTAAGCTGTAATAATGTAGTAGGGCTTAGTAAGCTGTAATATGTAGTGTGGGGTTAGTAAGCTGTAATATGTAGTGTGGGTTAGTAAGCTGTAATATGTAGTGTGGGGTTAGTAAGTTGTATGATTAGTGTGGGTTAGTAAGTGTATATGTAGTGTGGCTTAGTAAGTTGTAATATGCTAGTGTGGGGTTAGTAAGTTGTAATATGTAGTGTGGGGTTAGTAAGTTGTATATGTAGTGTGGGTTGTAAGTTGTATATGTAGTGTGGGTTAGTAGTTGTAATATGTAGTGTGGTTAGTAAGTTGTAATAGTAGTTGGGTTAGTAAGTTGTAATATGTAGTGTGGGGTTAGTAAGTTGTAATATGTAGTGTGGGGTTAGTAAGTTGTAATATGTAGTGTGGGGTTAGTAAGTTGTAATATGTAGTGTGGGGTTAGTAAGCTGTAATATGTAGTAAGCTTAATAGGTGGTAGTGTGGGTGTGTGATGTCACTACCACCTACACTGTGACTGTGGGATATTTACAACTTATGATATTGTCAACTTCCGACGGCTTCGTGGGAATGTGACGCCATGGCAGATCGACGACCTGCTTAATACTTATTGCCCTTATAAGCCTAAAATAGCCTTAATCTTGCCCAAAACACTTGCAAATACATAGCGATCTTTTGATTAATGTTCCAGGAAGGAGATCGGAGAATTGAAAGCCTTGCTGGAGGTGAAGCGGAGGTCAAGAGGCGGAGGCGGAGGCGGAGTGAGGCTGGGAGTGTCGCTGGAGGAGGCAGCAGAGTTTGAATATCTGAAGAACATTCTCTATCAGTACATGTTAGGCAAAGAAACACAGGTCAGCCTTGTGCTGCTATGTTGTGATAGATTGTGTTGCTGTATTGTAATAGATTGTATTGCTCTATTGTAATAGATTGAGTTACTGTAATGTACTTGTGTTGCTTATTTTGTATTTGTGTGATATAAAATAGAACACAAGTATTATATGAAGTGTTATCTGAAAATCAGTGTTATCTGAAATCAGTGTTATATAAGAGAAGTATTAACAGTATATATGATGGTTGACAGACCCTGAGCAAGGTGCTATGTGCTGTGGTCAAGTTCGATGCTCAACAACAACAAGAAATCTTCGAACATGAGGAACAGCGCCAGAATTTGGTGAGTCTGGGGTTGTTACACCTGGTGTAAGTCTGGGGTTATTATACCTGGTGTAAGTGTAGGGTTGTTACACCTGGTGTAAGTCTAGGGTTGTTGCACCTGGTGTAAATCTAGGGTTGTTACACCTGGTGTAATTCTAGGGTTTTTACATCTGGTATAAGCTTATGGTTGTTACATCTGGTGTAAGTCTAGGGTCATCAGGCTTGGTGTAAGTCAGGTCATCATGCCTGGTGTAAGTCTGGTTGTCATACCTGGTGTAAGTCTGGTTGTCATACCTGGTGTAAGTCGGGTCATAATGTCAGGTGTAAGTCAGGTTGTAACTCTTGGTATAAGTCAGGTTGTCATGCCTGGTGTAAGTCAGGTTGTCATGCCTGGTGTATGCCTTATTCAATTAAAATTGACTAAACCAAATTTCAGCTTGAAATCAATTAACAAAAAAAAAAAAATGAGTATTAACAAAAATTTTTTAATTTGGGTAAAACTCTAAAAAAATCTATTTAAATATCTAGAAATATTCTTTTTTTTTTCTTTCTTTTTTTTTGACTATTGACTCTCGGTTATTTTATTCTGTTGGTTTTTCCATTTTATTTAGGGTGTGGATGCAGTTGAAAAAGGTGCTTGTAAGTGAGTATTAATCATGTGTGAAACGTGTATGGTAAGCACTCTATTCAGCGGACTAGTTGAGGCTAGCGGATGGCCAGTGATTGATAGAGGTGGAATTTGTAACAATGACTTACGACCTCGTTAACAATGGACTTTGTTGTTTGTGAACCCGTGACCCAGTGGATTTTCTCTCATATATCCAGTATGTGAATTGAAGCCCATTAAATTGATGGTTTATGGTATATATTAATAAATATATGTGTGTGTGTGTGAGAGAGAGAGAATGAGAATGAGAGAGAGAGAATGAGAATGAGAGAGAGAGAATGAGAATGAGAGAGAGAGAATGAGAATGAAAGAGAGAGAATGAGAATGAATGAATGAATGAATTACAGTGAGAGATAATGTTATATAATCTCTGATGTGAGAGATAAGGACTCATCACTATCTCTTACCGTTCTATTGCATTATACAGAGTCACTTCTCTTATATAGCATCATTCCTTGTAGATGTTATTGAAAATGTTGATATAAAGTTGAACCTGCAGCTACCCAGACCCTCACAATACATCACATTAATCAGACCCTCACAATACATCACATTAATCAGACTCCTCACAATACAGTGGACCCCCGCATAACGATCACCTCCGAATGTGACCAATTATGTAAGTGTATTTATGTAAGTGCGTTTGTACGTGTATGTTTGGGGGTCTGAAATGGACTAATCTACTTCACAATATTCCTTATGGGAACAAATTCGGTCAGTACTGGCACCTGAACATACTTCTGGAGTGAAAAAATATCGTTAACTGGGGGTCCACTGTACATCACATTAACCAGACTCCTCACAATACATCACATTAACCAGACTCCTCACAATATATCACATTAATCAGACTCCTCACAATACATCACATTAATCAGACTCCTCACAATACATCACATTAACCAGACTCCTCACAATACATCACATTACTCAGATCCTTCACAATACATCACATTAACCAGACCCTCACAATACATCACATTAATCAGACCCCTCACAATACATCACATTAATCAGACCCCTCACAATACATCACATTAACCAGACTCCTCACAATACATCACATTAACCAGACTCCTCACAATACATCACATTAACCAGACTCCTCACAATACATCACATTAACCAGACTCCTCACAATACATCACATTAACCAGACTCCTCACAATACATCACATTAACCAGACTCCTCACAATACATCACATTAACCAGACTCCTCACAATACATCACATTAACCAGACTCCTCACAATACATCACATTAACCAGACCCTCACAATACATCACATTAACCAGACCCTCACAATACATCACATTAACCAGACCCTCACAATACATCACATTAACCAGACTCCTCACAATACATCACATTAATCAGACTCCTCACAATACATCACATTAACCAGACCCTCACAATACATCACATTAACCAGACCCTTACAATACATCACATTAATCAGACCCTCACAATACATCACATTAACCAGACTCCTCACAATACATCACATTAACCAGACCCCTCACAATACATCACATTAACCAGACCCTCACAATACATCACATTAACCAGACCCTCACAATACATCACATTAACCAGACCCTCACAATACATCACATTCAATTTCTGACACACTTTTTCAGTCAAATTTATGAAAAATTGCAGTGGACAGAGTTTTCTGGTAGAGTTGACTTTAGTGCTAGCAGAAATATTCAGAATTTTCACTCTATTGTTGTGAAAGTTGTTAAAAAGTGACGACATAGAGATGGCAAAATAAACATTGTGATACTCAGTGCTGTAGTTAATTTTGTCATCTCCTTGTCCTCAACAACCAGTTGAAGTTGTTTGGGCAAGCCGTCGCTCGGATTATAGGAGTAATGAATGGATAACTGGTTAACCTATGTCTTTGATCTGTTGTTTCAGGATAATATGGATGACATGTGGCATGATTCTTTCTTTTCATGATATTTTAGACATTCCCAGTAGGACTGAGGTCTGCACTATTCCCTGGACATTTTAAAACATCAGTATTGTTTTCAGCAAGCTGTTTGGTGAATATTTTGGCCTTGTGACAGGGTGGTGTTATGCATGAAGATGGTGCAGCTGGGAATTTTGCAAATATTCAACAGGTGGTCCTTGAGAGCAGCGCTGTAGAAGTCATCATTTGTTTTAACACTGGAGAAGGTAGTATAAACCCCCATGAACAATTCAACCGCTAAACCCTAAACCAGGATGGATTGTGTTTTACAGTATTCACTGTGTACACTGGGTCGTACCTGCTGATGAAGCAGGGCACCTCACCCTCCTTCAGTACACTGACCCAGACAGATACTAAGGTTATACAATGCAGTAAGTCCTCGACTTACAAACATGTTGAGAATCTTCTGTACTGTGTATATCATCATTATTGTATCATTATTGTGCATAATATTGTTATTATACACAACACAGGAGGTCCCCAATAAGTTTGTAAGTTGAAGACTTAATGTAGATGGGGGAATACTACACACCTTAGACCTATGGACAGTGTCTCAAATACCATGAAAAAGATGGAATCCTGCCACATGTCATCCATATCATGCTTGCAACAGCTGATCCAGGACATGGGTCAACCAGTAATCCATTCATCACTCTGGTAATCTGAGTGACGGGTCGTCCAAATGACCTCAACTGATCGTCGAGGTCAGCAACAAAATATTAACGACAGTAGCAGTGTATTGCAGCTTTCTGTAATGTTTATGTCGTTGCATTGTAATGATTTTCACAAAAATACAGTAGAAGTCCGAACTATTTCTGTGGATACTCCATGTTATTATAGTACGTATATAGATATACTTGCTTGTAAGTTTATACATAAATTTACTTGTCATGGGTTGACCATCAGCTACAAGTGGAGATAGAGCGGACTACCCTCCATCCATCGCTCTTGCAAGAAGATGATAGATCAGATCCATCCAAGACTCTGTGATTATTGAGGCAAGATGACATTAATAGTCTTGACTATAAGCTTAGCTTAGTAGCCTTGACTAAGCTTAAAGCGTGGTACTCCCAACTCACCAGCATGTCATTTAACCTGTGTGGTGATTAATGAGGCATTTTTAATTACAAAAGTGTGTTAAATTAGTCTTTTAACCTGTGTGGTGATTAACGAGTCATTAACCATCCACAAAACTATATTCAGTATCCACAAGATGAAGAATTAGACTCATGTACAACATCTGGGTGTCTTTATTTGTAGCCATTTGTCCATCCAGTGACTGTCAATACAAGGATGTGATGGGAAGACTGAAGAGGTACACAAAAAATATGAGTTAATCAGTCCCTCATATCTGGAGATGAAGAACACAAGAATCTTAAAGGATGTGGAGCACAGGTAGGATGACCGGTGCTTACATGAAGGATGTGGAGCACAGGCAGGATGACCGGTGCTTACATGAAGGATGTGAAGCACAGGCAGGATGACCGGTGCTTACATGAAGGATGTAAAGCACAGGCAGGATGACCGGTGCTTACATGAAGGATGTGAAGCACAGGCAGGATGACCGGTGCTTACATGAAGGATGTGAAGCACAGGCAGGATGACCGGTGCTTACATGAAGGATGTGAAGCACAGGCAGGATGACCGGTGCTTACATGAAGGCACCACACCTATATTCCTTTTTTAGTGTTCCTATTTTTGTTAGCTTCAAATTGAGTCATAACGTTCCACCCGAATTTGATAGTCACCAACGGATGGAACATCTCAGTTGAAAGCCGATGGAAATGTGTAACACTGAAAACAGGTGCTATATATGTGGTACCTTCTTGTGTATACTGGTGTCAGGCGAGGGAGGTGTCAGGCGAGGGAGGTGTCAGGCGAGGGAGGTGCAGTAGATCTAGACATGTGTCTTATTCTTTATCTTGTGGGTACTGTGTAGCATATATGTACTTCTTGTCAGACTCAACAATGTTATGGAATCTTAGTACAGTGGACATCACAACAACTTTCTTACTCCTGGACTATCCGTTGAGTATAACTTGCACTGGGGTATCCTGCCTGCTACTGACAGTATCTGTGTCTGCTACACCATCATCTGATGCCACGATATACCATATTTTCCACCATACAACGTGTACTTCTTTTCCACAAGAAAGTAGAATGATTTTTAAAATATCAGCAGTGGTGAAGAAAGTTCATGGACCGGTTTAGGACAGGGGACCAGGGGGGTATTGACCCCTGGGACATCCTCCATGTACACTGCCAGGGGGTGTTGACCCCTGGGACACCCTCCAGGTACACTGCCAGGGAGTCAGGGGGGTGTTGACCCCTGGGACATCCTCCATGTACACTGCCAGGGAGTCAGGGGGGTGTTGACCCCTGGAACACCCTCCAGGTACACTGCCAGGGGGGTATTGACCCCTGGGACATCCTCCATGTACACTGCCAGGGAGTCAGGGGGCGTTGACCCCTGGGACACCCTCCAGGTACACTGCCAGGGGGGTATTGACCCCTGGGACATCCTCCATGTACACTGCCAGGGAGTCAGGGGGGTGTTGACCCCTGGAACACCCTCCAGGTACACTGCCAGGGGGGTATTGACCCCTGGGACATCCTCCATGTACACTGCCAGGGAGTCAGGGGGGTGTTGACCCCTGGGACATCCTCCATGTACACTGCCAGGGAGTCAGGGGGGTGTTGACCCCTGGGACACCCTCCAGGTACACTGCCAGGGGGGTGTTGACTCCTGGGACACCCTCCATGTACACTGCCAGGGGGGTGTTGACCCCTGGGACACCCTCCATGTACACTGCCAGGGAGTCAGGGGGGTGTTGACCCCTGGAACACCCTCCAGGTACACTGCCAGGGGGGTGTTGACCCCTGGGACACCCTCCATGTACACTGCCAGGGAGTCAGGGGGGTGTTGACCCCTGGAACACCCTCCAGGTACACTGCCAGGGGGGTATTGACCCCTGGGACATCCTCCATGTACACTGCCAGGGAGTCAGGGGGTGTTGACCCCTGGGACACCCTCCAGGTACACCACCAGGGGGGTGTTGACTCCTGGGACACCCTCCAGGTACACCACCAGGGGGGTGTTGACTCCTGGGACACCCTCCAGGTACACTGCCAGGGGGGTGTTGACCCCTGGGACACCCTCCAGGTACACTGCCAGGGGGGTGTTGACCCTGGGACACCCCCAGGTACACTGCCAGGGGGGTGTTGACCCCTGGGACACCCTCCAGGTACACTGCCAGGGGGGTGTTGACCCCTGGGACACCCTCCAGGTACACTGCTACACCATACTTCAATTGTAGCATTTTACTGTCCATTACAGTATTTGAAACTAATTTTAAAATTAGTCACTGTTAGAAGTCCTCCCTACAAGACCCTCATGCACTTAACATAAAGAAGGAACACTGCAGCAGGCCTACTGTTCCATGCTAGGCATGTTCCTTATTACTATACTTCTTGATTCTTCCTGTATGTCTTTTACTCCATTATGCTGGTTGTGTTACCTGCCTAGCATGGGCCATTAGGCCTACAGTAGTGCTCTTTTTTAAGTGGGTGTGACTTGGACCTAGCATAAACCAGTAGGCCTTCTGCAGTGCTTTTTCTTATATAGTAGATTTACTGACATACTTTCTCATCCACAGCTTCAGGGCTGGTCACAAGGGCTGGGACTCTACTGAACATCTGCAGTCACAAGATGAATGATCTTCCTGACAGTACCTGAATGATGATACAAGCACATCTCTTACCTAATTGTGGTTGCTGGGAACGAGTCACAGCTCCTCGCCCCTTGGAGTCCACTGCTGGCACCCACTGCCATCTGCATCAGTTGATTCTGTATTTAACATCCCTCAGTACAGCGTTCCAGAAAACATTTTAACTGAGCACCATCATGGCCTGGGCACCATCATGACCTGGGCACCATCATGGCCTGGGCACCATCATGGCCTGGGCATCATCATGGCCTGGGCACCATCATGGCCTGGGCACCATCATGGCCTGGGCACCATCATGACCTGGGCACCATCATGGCCTGGGCACCATCATGACCTGGGCACCATCATCGCCTGGGCACCATCATGACCTGGGCACCAAAAGGCCGGGGCACCTCAGGCCTGGGACCTTCGGGCCGGGGGCACATCGTGGTCTGGGAACCACGTGGTCTGGGCACCTCTGGCCTGGGTTCACATGCCCGGGGCCCACATGGACTTGGCCCCAAGGGCCCTGGGCACCATCAGGCCCCGGGACCATGTGGCGGGCCCATCAGACCTGGGGCACCACTGACCTGGTCCCCCTTATGACCTGGGACCATCACCCTGGGCCCATTTATGGGGCGGGTTTAACCCCATGGTGGGCCCCAATCATGGTCTTAAAGACCCATCGTTCTACACACGCAGAAGGATATTATCTGTATGGTTGACCCGAGCGATGGGTCTTACACCACTCTGATTGTTGATTGTCATCACGTAACATTTGTACAACAAGGAAAAACATGGCCCGGGGGAAGGCGGTGGCGCGACAAGCGGCCACGACCTTGTGTGAGGGACTCCGGGGTCTACAACTTCAAAAAATACAACGTTTTACCTGGTTAGAGGCATTGCGTACAGTGGCACCCCCCCTATGGGTCTTTTAAAATCCCCCTGGGGACCATTGTGACCCCATTTTCCGGCTGCCCGTGGCTCATATGGGTTTAGGAACCCTGTGAATGAGATTAAACTTTTTTAACTTAACAAAATTTAAAAGAATGTGACTTACATTTCAACTCGAGGTAATTTTTTGTACCTAGGTTTTGGAGTACATTACATAGTACATGCCCTAGTACATGACATAGTACATGGGCAGACATGACATGTACTGACATATAAGGGCTATACAAAATAGTACAGGGCATAGTACTGACTTTGTAAAATGAAATGTAATGAAATATAAAAGCATAGTACATGACATAGTTCTTAAATTTTCTAAAGCATGATTTTTACATGACATAGTACATGACATGACTTGGACTTTTTACATAGGGACCCAAAATGGTTTGATTTTAACCCTTTAACCCAACCCCAACCTATCCTAACTTAACAAACCCTTTAAATAACCTTTCCTAACCCTTTGCATAACCTTAAACCTAAACCCTTTAAACCCAACCTTAACCTAACCCTTTAATAACCTTCCCCAGCCTTAACTAGCCTTTTAACCCAGCCTTAAACCCACCTAACCTAACCTTACCTAACCTTAACAAAAAAACCCTTAAACCCCAGCCTTACCCCAGCCTTTAACCCCGCTTAACCTAACCTAACCTTAACCTACCCCAATTAGCTTAACCCCCTTTAAATAACCTAACCTTAAATTAAACCTAGCCTTAACCTACAACCCAACCCAACTTAACCCCAACCCTTAAACTAGCCTTAACCAACCTTAACCTAGCCTTAACCCAACCATAACCAACTTAACCTAACCTTAACCTAACCAAAACCCGACCTAACCTAACCCTTTAACCCAACCTTAAACCCAACCTAAACCAAACCCAAAAAAACCTAACCCCAACCCAACCCCAACCTCCTCACTGTTACTTTCCCCTTCAAATTTTTTGTTTGGTGCCAAAAATACAATATGTTTTAGGTTGTGGTTAATACAAGTACTAAACTATCTAGGTTTATATTTTTTAATATGTACTTGGCCCCATCTTTTTAATTATTTAAACCCGGGTAAAATTTTGTACTCTTGCAAGAGTTAAGAGGCCTGGTGACATTTGAGAATTTGTGTGACTGACCCTTTAGAGTCCCCAGGACCTTCCTGTGTGACTGATAGTCCCCAGGGCCTTCCTGTGTGACTGATAGTCCCCAGGGCCTTCCTCAGTGACTGATAGTCCCCAGGACCTTCCTGTGTGACTGATAGTTTCCAGGACCTTCCTCAGTGACTGATAGTCCCCAGGACCTTCCTGTTTGATTGGTAGTCCCCAGGACCTTCCTGTTTGATTGATAGTCCCCAGGACCTTCCTGTTTGATTGATAGTCCCCAGGACCTTCCTATGTGACTGATAGCCATCTCAGGACCTTCCTGTGTGACTGATAGTCTTCCTAGGACCTTCCTGTGTGACTGATAGTCCTGAGGACCTTCCTGTGTGACTGATAGTCCTCAGGACCTTCCTGTGTGACTGTGTCTTCCCAGGACCTTCCTGAGTGACTGATCCCCTAGACTCTCCAGGACCTTCCTGAGTGACTGATCCCCTAGACTATACACCAGACTTGCTACCAGATGTGTACATAGCTAGCAACTACACTTGTGTATACTAATACACCAAGATATACACACCATACTTACAACTTGTAACCTAGCATTAGCCAGCAGTAAGCCAGACTATTGTGGCTAAGCCTACCTACTTGTAGGCCTAGTTACACAGCCGAAACAGCCTAAATGTCATGCAGTTTCCCCTCTGCAAACTGTGGGTTTATGCAAGTTGCAAGAGCATAGTTTGCAATGTTCCTTTACTACTGTATAAACCTCTCTTGTATTTACAAAACCTTTTGTTGTTACTGGTCCACTGGTTAACACTGGTCCACTGGTTAACACACTGGTCCACTGGTTAACACTGGTCCACTGGTTAACACACTGGTCCACTGGTTAACACTTGTCCACTGGTTAACACACTGGTCCACTGGTTAACACTGGTACACTGGTTAACACACTGGTCCACTGGTTAACACTTGTCCACTGGTTAACACACTGGTCCACTGGTTAACACTTGTCCACTGGTTAACACACTGGTCCACTGGTTAACACTGGTCCACTGGTTAACACACTGGTCCACTGGTTAACACTGGTCCACTGGTTAACACACTGGTCCACTGGTTAACACACTGGTCCACTGGTTAACACTGGTCCACTGGTTAACACACTGGTCCACTGGTTAACACTGGTCCACTGGTTAACACACTGGTCCACTGGTTAACACTGGTCCACTGGTTAACACTGGTCCACTGGTTAACACTGGTCCACTGATTAACACACTGGTGCACTGGTTAACACACTGGTCCATTGGTTAACACACTGGTCCACTGGTTAACACACTGGTTCACTGGTTAACACACTGGTCCACTGGTTAACACACTGGTCCACTGGTTAACACACTGGTCCACTGGTTAACACACTGGTCCACTGGTTAACACTGGTCCACTGGTTAACACTGGTCCACTGGTTAACACACTGGTCCACTGGTTAACACACTGGTCCACTGGTTAACACTGGTCCACTGGTTAACACTGGTCCACTGGTTAACACTGGTCAACACTGGTCCACTGGTTAACACTGGTCAACACTGGCCCACTGGTTAACACTGGTCCACTGGTTAACACACTGGTCCACTGGTTAACACTGGTCCACTGGTTAACAATGGTCCACTGGTTAACACTGGTCAACACTGGCCCACTGGTTAACACACTGGTCCACTGGTTAACACACTGGTCCACTGGTTAACACACTGGTCCACTGGTTAACACTGGTCCACTGGTTAACACTGGTCAACACTGGTCCACTGGTTAACACTGGTCCACTGGTTAACACTGGTCAATACTGGCCCACTGGTTAACACTGGTCCACTGGTTAACACACTGGTCCACTGGTTAACACACTGGTCCACTGGTTAACACTGGTCCACTGGTTAACACACTGGTCCACTGGTTAACACTGGTCCACTGGTTAACACACTGGTCCACTGGTTAACACTGGTCCACTGGTTAACACACTGGTCCACTGGTTAACACTGGTCCACTGGTTAACACACTGGTCCACTGGTTAACACTGGTCCACTGGTTAACACTGGTCAACACTGGTCCACTGGTTAACACTGGTCAACACTGGTCCACTGGTTAACACTGGTCCACTGGTTAACACACTGGTCCACTGGTTAACACTGGTCCACTGGTTAACACACTGGTTCACTGGTCCACTGGTTAACACTGGTCCACTGGTTAACACTGGACTACTACTATGGTGGTACATATAAGGATAATGATCTTAAAGGTTAACTGAAGTTAGATAAAGTGTAGATGATTATCTGTGTTGTTGTTGTATTTTAAACTGAATATACAAGATTTAAGGTTGACTTTGTGTATCCTGACTTATACAACACCTGGGTGTTGACTTATACAACACCTGGGTGTTGACTTATACAACACCTGGGTGTTGACATGTACAACACCTGGGTGTTGACTTATACAACACCTGGGTGTTGACATGTACAACACCTGGGTGTTGACATGTACAACACCTGGGTGTTGACATATACAACACCTGGGTGTTGACTTATACAACACCTGGGTGTTGACATGTACAACACCTGGGTGTTGACATGTACAACACCTGGGTGTTGACTTGTACAACACCTGGGTGTTGACATGTACAACACCTGGGTGTTGACATGTACAACACCTGGGTGTTGACATGTACAACACCTGGGTGTTGACATGTACAACACCTGGGTGTTGACTTATACAACACCTGGGTGTTGACTTATACAACACCTGGGTGTTGACTTATACAACACCTGGGTGTTGACATGTACAACACCTGGGTGTATTGATGAATAAGACACATGTACAACACCTGGGTGTTGACATGTACAACACCTGGGTGTTGACATGTACAACACCTGGGTGTTGACATGTACAACACCTGGGTGTTGACATGTACAACACCTGGGTGTTGACATGTACAACACCTGGGTGTTGACATTACAACACCTGGGTGTTGACATGTACAACACCTGGGTGTTGACATGTACAACACCTGGGTGTTGACATGTACAACACCTGGGTGTATTGATGAATAAGACACATGTACAACACCTGGGTGTCTTTATTGATGTATCTGGTGAGGTGGTCGTGGTCCCAGGGTTAACACACTGGCCAGACAGGTCTACAGCCCACTGTCATGGGTCCAACTACTGGTATCTTCTCTGAACTAAGTGAAACGCCTTTACCATCACTCGTCAACACCTGTCTTACCAGATCTCCTTCCTCAGATCAAACCTGGATGCCTTCCAGTTGTCCAGGTGATGTGTTGCCCCTACATGTTTAGCACTTTCCCCTAGGGTAACC